TATATATATATAATTACTAAACTGACTGAGACTAGGAATATTGTATGAGTGTCTCCAATGCCTGCATATAGAAAGCATCCAATGAATATTTGTTGAATGAATGTATTTTCTAGGTACAAGGCGGGTGGTGGGCAAGGCAGTTGCCTTAACAGAACACCCGCCTTTTAAAAGCAGCCTTTCCTAAAGAAATCACGTAGGACGGGAGCCCCGCGTCTGGTGAGAATATTCGCTCTGGAGTCACGCACCGGTGGCAAGTCAAGCCCAGAACTGGGTTGGACAGGACTGGCTGGGGGAGATCCGGGGCCGATAAGTCCCCCTCAAACCCACCTCTTGCAGTCTGATTCCAGACCACTCACACCCTAAGATTATAACGCCTTCCACAGTGTGTGGCGCTGTGGGTTAATGCGCCACACTACAAAGCCGTTTGAACTATAAGGTTGGTGGTTCAAGCTCAGCAGTCGCTCTATGAAAACACTACACAGGCTCGCTATAGGTCGGAACCGACTCTAAGGCACTTAACAACAACAACAACAGGGCAGGGATTGAAATCCCAGCACGGGCGAAAAGGACTAGGTTTTGTTTCCTGGGACATTTTATAGAGACGCACTCACCCCGCCCTTTCCGGAAGCGTGCAGCGCTTAGTTCCCCAGCCCCATGTGCTTTTAAGCCATAAGTGCTTGCTGATCTGTAATCGCTTCTGTCTGGTAAGGTTGTCCATATCTGCGTCTCCAAGACCTTCTACGAAGACGTCGCTATGGTGGGTTCCCTTTCGCTCGGTTCCGGGTAAAGTTCCCATAGGCAGGGAAGAAGGAGGCGGTCTCGGGAGCCTGTTGTCTGGCGCCCCAGACCTGGAACGCTGGGAGTGGTTGCTGGGCGGCGGAGCGGAGTGAAGCGACCCGGAGGCGGGTCCCCAGAGCAGCGTCCAGACCTTAAAGTCCTCACTTGTCGCTTTGCCACTCCTCATCTCCTGACTAGTTTCCCGTGTCACCTCCCGTACCTCAAAACCAAACTCTTAGCTAATGTCCTCAGTACTTTACCGAACAGAGTAGCATTGCCCCCTAGGGTTTTCAAGTCTGTAATTTTTACAAAGCCAGACTGCTACAGCTTTCTCCTAGCTGGTGGATTTGAACCACTGACTTTTTGTTTGTTGCTAAGTGCCTTCCAAACAGTTCCGACTCGTAGTGACCCTGTATAGGGTAACCCAGGAACTGCTGGTGAGTTTGAACCAAGGCTCAAACCGACCTTGCGGTCCAGTGCTTATCCTTCAGCACCACATCAATTGACAACTGAACGTTTAACTTACTGCACCACTAGAGCTCCTTTCGGGGAAATAAAAACCTCTTCTGTCTGGTGGATCCTGACTCAATGACTGTATATGATGACAGAATAAGACTATTCCATAAGGGTTCTTACTTTGAGTCCTGGTGTGGTGCTGTAGAGTAAAGCACTGGACTGGTAACCACAAGTTTGACAGTTCAGAACCACAAGTCGCGCATATTGCAACTCAAGGCTTGAATTTTTCCTTCACTTTGTTCAGCTTGAGAAATGCTTGAGTTTCTAACTTCAGGTCTTTGCACACTTTGTTAAATAAACTGTTTAAGGAAACAAACATGCTAAAACTACATGGGAAAATCCAAAACTGACTGAAGTAGGAAATTTCCACTGGAAACAAGGGGATACTTAATGGTTTAAAATCAGGAAAGGTGTGCACCAGGGTTGTAGTGTATAAGCAATTTATTCAACCCGTATACTGAGCAAATCCGAGAAGCTGGATAATAGGAAAAAGAATATAGCACCACAATGGGAGGAAGACTCTAACAACCTCTCATGCAGATGCTACAACCTTGCTTGCTTAAAGCAAAGAAGACTTCAAATACTGGTAAAGATCAAAGACCATTGGGTTGTACCTCAATGTAAAGACAACAAAAATCCTCAC